AAAGAGAGTCTGCAGATATAATTTATTAGGTTTAGAAGCTGCCACACTGGATCAAGGTGGCCCTAACGTCCTTATAAGAAGAGATGACGCATAGACACATTAATAACAGAGGCCATATGATGACAGAGACTGAGATTAGGGTGGCTATAAGCCAGCAAGTGCCACGGATGGCTGGGAGCCAGCACATGTAGCAGAAGGACATGGAACAGAGACTCCAGCCCTGCAATGTCTTGATTTTGGGTTTCTGGCCTCCAGAACTATGACAGAATGAGTACCATGTTTCCCTGAAAATAAGAACTAACTGTAAAACAATCTGCCTTGAAAGCTAGAGATCAACATGCCAGGGCCTGCCTTACAGAGAGAAAATAGCGGGGTATAATCTTCCGCGTGACACTGGCTGTCACCATGGTAATGACCAGCTTGGGCGTATTTTCCTGGTAGGTTTTATTTTCAGGGAAAAATAGTATTTGTTGTTTCAAGCCACCCAGAACACATGATTTGTTATAGAAGACCCAGGAAACTGTTACAGGGTTCTGGGGAGGATGGAATAAGAAGCACAAAGGCCTCAAGGAGGGAGCATCCATAGCACATTTGAGGAAAAACCAGTTGGCAGGTGTGGCAGAAGGAGGTGAAGGAAGGGAGGAACGGTGAGGACTAAAGCTGGAGGTTTAGAGAGGTTTTGGGGACCAGAAGCCCTTGTGGCAAGCCTTTAATAAAAGGGAACTGTCACACTTTGGACCGAGAGTACCCGCTGGAGTGGGTGAGGGAGAGTGGGAGTGGGTGGTCCTTCAAGAGCTTCATCTCTTGATAGTAGTTTCCTCTTTGAATATGTTCAGCTTTCCTCTCTCCCTTCTTCCTTCTCTCCCTGCCTCACTCTGTCTCTGTCTCTGTCTCTGGCTCCCTGTGCCTTGTGTCTCTGTCCCTCTGTGTCTCTGTCTCTGTCTCTCTCTCTCTCACACACACACACACACACACAAGCTCTTTTTTTGTTCCTCTGCTCTTTTCCATCTCCTCCCCTCCATCCAAGTCCTCATGGAAAATAGAACTTGCTTGCCAATGGCTACCATGCCTTACAAAGAGCTCTACTCTTTGTAAATTTATTTACTCCTCCCTGTAATCCCATCGGGCAGAGGCTATTGACTCAGAGAGATTAAAATGTGTGCCTAATGCCACACAGCTGATGAGTGGTAAATCTAGAATGGAAACCTAGAATTATCTGAATCCAAAACCCAGGCTCCAGCCCTTAGTACTGAAAATATGATCCACGGTCCAGCAGCCTCTCCCACATTAGAGATGCTCGTCCCAGACTTGCTGGATCAGAAACCACATGTTGACAACTTCCCAGAAGATTCCTGCAGTGGGTGCACACTTGTGTACTCCATGGTTTTCCATAGCCTGCTGCTCCCTGATTCTTATAATCAGTCCCCCCATGTTCTCCCAGGCCCCCTGCCCAGTTGGCTCGCTGTTGCTCCCTAGGTGAGATAGGCCCTCCATTTCCCCAGGAAAGAAGTCTAGACCTGCAGCTCAAGAGCTGGCCTGGAGGGGTGTCCTGCCTGGTACCCAATACTCTCCCAGCCACTCCCTCTTGTTTGCCTCTGGGACATGGCTCTTGGCCTCTGCCTAGGGCGCTTCTAAAGGAAGCCTCTGGCCATCACCAGTGCCCCCAGCATCTGCCCTCCCCAGATATATCCTGCCCTATCCCCACTCCTAACGTGTTCACTGCATCGTGTCGCTCCTGTGTCTGGACACTCAGGGCCTGTCCGAGCTGCTATCAGGAGAGAGTGCTGCGTAGGAAACCTGGCCAAGCTCACAGGAAATGTCTGACACCACCAGGCACGCAGGACTTGGCCTCCCAAAGCAAAACACAGCTGGGCTGACAGCAGTGGCGGCTTGGACTTTCCCAGATTTCATGGCATGGCGGGCCCAGGACAGAGAGGGACTGGGCTGGCCCTGAGGCCACAGCTCATTAAGTACATTACAGTAGCCTCTGGCCAGGAAGCCTGTGAAAGCCAGAGGGCAGCCTGCTCGGGCCAGAGACCTCATCCAGGACGTTGGCCTTCCATTGTCTCTTGGCTCCCTGGGGGACTGAACACTCACACTCCTCATCTTCAAGCCATTATTTATTCATTCAACTTATGCTGGTTGGGCATCTGTCATATGCCAGGCATTGTGTTAGATGCAGGGATATATTCATGGAGCAGCAGGACACCATCCCTGCTCTCAGAGAACTGCTGGTCCAGGGGACAAATGAACAGACCACCCCAAGGCACAGTGAAAAGTGAAGGGAGCATGAAGTGCCTGCGTGGGAGTCAGCAGGGCCTCGCCTCTGAGCCTCTCAGCAGCACGTGGAGTGGCACCCTGGGCTCCACGTATAGGGTGATCCTTCAATGCCAAGTGGGCCCTTTTGTCAGGCTAACTCTGTAGCTTGCAGCAAGCATCAGAAAACAAATACGAACTGAGTACCTTCTGTGAGCCACCAATAGAGGAAGGAGCTGAGGGAGTCCCCGACACCCCGGGCATGACCCACAAAGCCCAGACCCACATGCAGGCAGGGGTCCTGCATACCTTCAGGGGCCAGCCAACAGGGCAGACAGAATCGGGAGAGGCTCTTTGTGTGGGAAGTAAACTGGGCCTTGAACAATCAGGAGTGGGTAAGCTGGAAGATTGGGGAAGGGAACCAAATGGTCCTGACTTGGATGCAAGGTCAGAGGACTTGCCAAGTGACATGAACATGCACAGGAGCAGTGTATGATAGTGAATGGGTAAATCCCCATGAGCCAAAAGAGACTTGCAGAGGGAAAGCTGATAGGTGCACCCACCCTATCCCTGGATGGCCCTCACCCCAGGCCCACTTCCCTCTGCCCACTGCTAAGGCCCTGTCAGTTTCCTCTCTAGTTTTCTTGTCCTTGCAGAGGGCAAATCTTTTTTCCCTTAGTTCAGCAAGACAAGGTTGCAACATTTCAGAAAGAACTTCCTAAGTAGAAGCAAATGGAAAAACCAACGTGAAAACCCCAAAGCAAAACACAACCCCCTCCTAGAAATGGACCAGTTTACAAAGTTCATATTTCCTGTCCTGAACTAGAAAAAGTCTAGCCAGATTGGCTGGCAAGCAGGCCAGGGACTCCTGCCCATGAAAGCTCCCTTGTCCACTTTTATTCTACTCCCTTCCCCTAGCTGCCCTTTCCCTTCTCTTCTGAGGAGAGAGGCTGGTGAGTGAGTGGACAGAGTGTTGCAGGCAGCTGAGTTATTTAGAAATATTATAGGCAGTCAGACAGGGCTAGGTCCTGCAAGGAGCCAGGGCAAAAACCCAGATATCTTGCAAGTGTGGGAGACAGACACCTCCTCCTCAGTGGGCCAGGCCTCAAGACGAAGGATCAAACAAATGCATCCACATCCTGAGGACTGATATTCTAAATAGTTCTCTATCATCCTGAGGAAGCCTGGAGTCACCATCCCCTCCCCCTAGGAAAGAGTCACTGCTACTTAAGAATGCCCGCTTCCAGCTCCTGAGATCCGCACCATGTTGGAACTTAGGACGCTGGGAAACCAAGCAACCAGCCTGCCTCCCTGCTAAGCAATAGTGAACCTACTGATGCACGGCCTAGAGTCAAACATCCCACTTCCACTACCCCTCTTCTGCTGTCCCCCCCCCCCGCCCCCCGTTAGCAAATGGGAACCAGAAATCTGAGCATCTCCTGGGAGGTTGACCATAGCAAATAAGGGGACTTCCTTCTACCATCTCTTTGAAGGCAAGTATTTTTATTACTGTTTTGCTGTATTCTGATTAATGGTACTGCTCTATTCAATATTCTGTTTTGATAAGTTCTATAATGTTCTGTATTTCATCTCATTTTGATATATGTGATTGAAAGAACAACTATTATAAAGATAATGAAATATACTGTGATACCTATTACTGTTATCCCGGTAACCTGCTGTGAAGTTCTGTACCAATTTCACTGTATGATCTTAGTTGGCTTTATTCTGTCTTGTTCTGTTGTATTTTACTACTTTCAAAATAAAATTAAAAAAAAAAAAACAAAAAAGAATGCCCGCTTCCTACATGACTGGCTTCCTTATTTGTTCCCAATTCAATTAATTTTACCTGAACTAATAATCGTATTGGCTAACTATAGTTATGTCCCACCTTATGTCCATCTGTCTTGTGAGTTCCCAGTTTCCCCCACTTTGAACCCATCTCACCTCATGATTTTGCTGTATAAAAGTCCCTGAAAAAGACAGAGTTCTTGGCAACCCACTCAGGACCCCTTCTGTCTCTCTCTCTTTTTCTCAATAAATACATTCTGCTCTTAACCTCCATTGTTCCTAAAACTCATTCTTCGATTTTAGAGGACATGAACTCGAGGACATAGTATGTTAGGAGTTTCATTCCCCTATATCAAGAGGGGTCTCTGAGGAGGAGCCCTTCGGACTGCCTGCCCTCATATTTTTAGGAGGAGGAGGAGGAGGAGGAGGAGGAGGAGGAGGAGGAGGAGGAGGTGGAGGAGGAGGAGGAGGAAGAGGAGAAGGAGGAGGAGGAGGAACATTTATGGAGAGTGTACATGTGCATCAAGCTCTGTCATAATCTGTTGTGTTTAATCTTCACAACAATTCTATGATGTAGGAATTAGTGCTGTCCCCTCCTGACTGATGAGCAATCAGAGACACAAAGAGGTAAGCAACTTGCCCACGTGACCTACCTAGGAAGTGGCAAAGCCAGAACAGAAGCCAAGAGACCCTGAGGTAGGAACACACCCCCCTCAGCTTTCTTCTGGGCCACTGGAAGGGAAAGACTTCACCCTCATACCCACCCCTCCATCCAGCCTGGCAAAGGCCCTGCCAACCCCAACCCTTGGTCCCCTGTCCCATAGCCCTGAAGGAGTGGGAGAGGGGAGGCATGGGCAGGAAAGCAGGAAGGACAATGCCTGTCTTCCCCATGGTCCTGAGGGACTATCCTGACATACTCGGAGCCCTGGACTCCCACTGAAGAAGGGACTTACCTAGTTGGTGACAGCTGTGGTGCCAGGGCCTGTGTTCTGGCCTCAGGGCCTTCTCTGGCTGTGCTGCTTCTGCGGAGGTTGGGTGTCCTCTCAGCTGAACGTCGGGGGGCTAGCCTGGAGTTCTGAGGGTCAAATTCCTCCTCGGGAATGACCTCCTCACAGCGAGCCCCTCGGAAGCCAGAGCGACAGACGCAGAGCTGGGGCCGGCTGCAGGAGCCTCGGTTCTGGCAGGGTGGCTGGCACACAGCTGAGGAGATAAGGAGCAGGATGACGGCTGGGTCAGGCACCCAGAGGCCACGGGCTGCCAAACACCCTCCCGATAGAGGGGTTCCTGTCTCAGAGAGAGGACTGAGCGCTGCTTGGCCCTTCCTTCAGGCAGGAAGCCAAACTGCTGGCCTCAGAAGCTTCCCTGGGCCCATTTCTCTCTCCCTACCACCCACAAGCCTCTGGGATAAGATTGGCTTTAATTTGGGACAAGTGAAAGATGGAATAACCAGAGTTGTGGGCTCAACAACACTTCCAGCAGAACACCTGAAGGGCAAATGAACTGCCTGCCCTCATATTTATACTGAAATGCCCACTCCTGGAAGGCTGAGAGCCCATGAAAGACATTTGATTTTGTGCCCTTGGGTAGCCCCAGAATTTAGAAAGAGGACTGGCAGAGAGTAGAGACTCAGTAAATATTGAATGAATGAGTGTTGAGTTGTTTGGGTTTTCTGTTTCTCATGACCTGAGTGACCCTAATCTCAGCCTCAGTTTCCTCTTGAATCATGAGGAGTGGGCAGAATCAGCTGGGGGACGCTAAGGGTCTCCCAATATGACCTTCAGCATGACAGCCTCTCTTGTTTTTCTCATGAGAGCAATTTCTCTCAACCCCCAGCTCTCCTTAGTTAGGTAGGATGAGTCTACCTCCCGGCACTGGGGACAAAATAGGGCTGAAACTGGGCTTCTTCCTCCAAGTCAGCACTGCACATCAGCCACCAGACGCCAGGCTGTGATTTTCTCTCTCCACTGCCCTTCACCACCTTGTAGCATCCAGAGTCACACCCAGTGACTGAAGGCCAAGGGAGAGTCACATGCAGAGGCCCACGCTGGAATGCAGAGCCCCGCCAGTTCTCCTCCCAGGACCTCCCGTGGTCTGGCTCAGACGGGGCCCTCTAAACCCATTGTCTCACCCATCTGTTGTTCTTATATACTCAGTAAACAGTTGTTGAGCGCTCCTGAGTTCTAGGCAGTGAGGACAATGTCTACCCACATGGGGCTTGCAGTCCAGCAAGAGAGACCAACAGAAAGCAAGAAAATAGTGCTGTGTAGCACCAAGGGCTGTGAAGACAGTTAACCAGGATGACATAGTGTTCCGGGCCCATGCTGATGGCGGGGCAGGGCCCTCTCTGAGCAGTGAGATGGGAGTAGTGCAGAGAGTGGACTGGGGACCTCCAGACAGAGACTCCCAGGCAGAAGCTCAGGGGAGCACCAAGCCCTGAAGGCTCAGGGGATCCAGGGAGGCTGGGTCCAGTGCGGGGAGGAGGAGTAGGCAAGGTCATTCCAGGGCACCAAAAATGTGAAGGCAAATACACCTTGTCGTCTCAGTTATTTCAAGTTTATTAGTGAAAATACCCGGCACCCTTACCCAGACTAGGTTTCATCTGGGTTTTTGTTGGCTGAACTCTCCTTTCTGGAAGGAGTACTAGAATTCAAACCAGAGGCCGCTCTGGACAAATCACTTCAAAATTCCACGTGGCCCATGACACTTCCCTCCCAGAGGCCCTCAGTGGTTCCCTGGGAACCTTCAGGACACAAGTCCATTGCTCTAACACTGGAGGAATACCAGCACTAAAGATACTCCCGAGTCTCACCCCTAACAACTTTCTAAGTCCACCCGCCCTGGCTGAACTGGCCGTCTGCCCACTTCTGGCCTCTGCTCTTTTTCCTTTCTGCCTTCACCTGTGCTGTGTCCCCTCTCAGGAACATTTCCCCCTTCCTGCCCACTTCCCTAAGTGCTATCATTCCCTCAGGGTGCCTCCCCTGAGGACTGTCCTCTCACCAGCTACTCCCCCACTGGCCATCTCCAGAGTGCCACCATCAGCGTGACAGGCTAACACTAACACAATCACTGTGTCCCATGAGAGAAGCTCCACTCCAGTGAGCGCTGGCAATACAGAAGGCACGGTACCTTGTGCCACTATCTCATGTCATCCCCACAACAGTCCACTCAGCAAGTGTGACTGTGATTCCCATTTTACAGATGATGCCTCTGGAAACTCAGACTGGTGAAGAGACTTGGTTCAGGTCACCCAGCTGACAGATGGTGGAGCTACCCTCACTGACCAGGGCTAGTATGGCTTTTCCCGGCTACCATCTCTGAGCCTTGTCCTGGAGTTGAGATTAAAACAAGAGATCCCCTGGCTTCAAGTTAGCCACCAAATGTGCCCTAGGAAACCCTGTGCAGGGAAACTATACTCTGCTCTCAGACCTGGTGACATAAATCTCAGAACCCCATGAAACCCAGAACCCCTTGCCTCTCCAAAGCCCACAGAGTAAATTTTAGAGGATGAGGGAACCAGTTCATGCATTCAATGATCATTCTTAGTGCACTCTCTCTGAGGCTTGTGATAGCGTCTCTAGCTCATAGAAAACAGGACACACAGTCCATAGGATGAGTGCTGTATCTACCAGAGCGTCTAACCAGGCTGGTCAGAAAGTAGAGAAAGTCAGGAAGACTTCATTGAGGGGGCAGTGCTGACCAGGACACAAGGGATGAGTGGGTCGGATATTGTGCCCTCTAAGCACACCCAAGGACCACCCCACCTAGCCAGCAGAGATGGGCAGATAACAGCTCTCACTATAGGGGTCCAAGTCCAGGATCTTGGGATCCAGGGCTCTTCTCAAGGCCCCGTAAGCAATCATTGTAACCAGAACAGTTCCCCAAGGCACCATGCAGGATTAGGATGTATTGGTTGGCCACCATTCCACGAGCCCAAGCAGAGTTGCCCTTTACCTGACTGCCTGTTGGGCCTTTGTTACCACCCCTAGAGACACAGCCAGCTGGAGCCTGCCCAGCAGTCAAAACGCTAGAGATGGCAGACGTGCCCAGGTCAGGTCTTGGCCTTGACATTCTTTTAGCAGAAGACAAGCAAGAGAAGGCCTGAATGGACACAGGTCTCCACCAGAATAGGTGAGGGAAGGATCATCCCTTTAGTAGAAAGCTGGCTTGCTTCCCCCTCCACTCCTGAGCTCCAAGCAAGGCCCACCCTTGGCTTTAGCAGTGAGATCTCTCCCTCATTCTCTGGAAACCTCCGGCTCCCATCCCTGCTAGCAGAGTCCTGTGCCTCGCTCTGACCCACTCACACCTGGTCCCGCCTCATTTGCTAATATCTTCCACTATCATTAACAAGCACCTCCCTCAGGCTGACTAGGAGCAGCAGACACAGAGATGAAGAGCAAGACCCTTCCCCACGCCCATGGAGGTCCTGGACCAGCAGCGAATTTGGTCCTCAGTGTGGACTTTGGCACAATGAACAGCTCCAGGGAAAATGATGGAAAGAGCATTTTATATATGTGTGTTATATCATGGTAAATAAAAGTTCTAACAGGCTTCTCAATCAGTTGGGTGTGCTGGCAGCAAAACACCCGCTTGGGAAGGTAACCTTGCAGGACCAACCACATAGCAGGCAGCCATGGAAAGGCAGCTCCTTCTAGTTTCTGGTTTTCAGAGTTTTGAAGCAGCTCTCACCTGCAGTATCTGAGTCCTACTTGGAGTGTTTTTAACAAGTTTCCGCAAGATGCAGGGTTCCTAACTTCCTCATTGGAATGATATACATGTTATTCCGGGCTGAGCATATGTATTATGGAATTTCAGTGTAAATTCTTCGTTTCTTTCTCCAAGTAGTCATCTCCAATTGGCCCATAAGGATGGCTCCAACTGCGTAAGACAGGAGTAGTCTGACAATTTTTATTGCTTTACCATAAAATAAAGAAAATAAATTAAATTTCCTGATTTTTTATGTAATACTATTTTTCCTACTCAGAAGAGTGTCTTTTGGGAGGAAGGAGTGTTAAAATGTTCTTAAAGGTGATGGCATGTGGTGGCTATTTTTTCTTTCCCTAACATCCTCACTTGGATAAATGAATAGCTGGCCACTGTACATTGGTACTTGAGAATTTTATTTTATTTTATTTTTTAAGACTACGAAGAATTGGGGCTGGGGATTTAGCTCAGTGGCATAACATCTGCCTTGCAAGCAGGTGGTCATGAGTTCGATCCCCAGTACTGATAAAAAAAAAAAAAAAAAAAAGACTACGAAGAATTTATTAAGACAAAGGAAATCCTTTGTGTAAGGAGGCAGAAGGGGGCCTGCAGTGGGTGACCCTGAGAATTTTAAAATATATTCTAATGCATAAAATTGATACTGTACTGGGCATGGTGGCACATGCCTATAATCCTGGCACTCTAGGAGGCTGAGGCTGGAGAATCACAAATTCAAATCCAGCCTAGGCAACTTAGCAAGACCTTTTCTCAAAATAAAAGCTTTAAAAAGAGGCTGGTATGTAGCTCAGTGTGAAGGTCCTGGGTTCAATTTTTTGTTTGTTTTGGGTTTTTTGGTACCAGGGATCAAACTCACAACCTCCCACTCTCCAGCAGGCAGGTGCTTGTGGCACTGAGCTAGTTCTGGGTTCAATTCTTAATACTACTGCCAAGAGAGACAGAGAGAGAGAGAGAAGAAGAAGGAGGAGGAGGAGGAGGAAGAGGAGGAAGAGAAGGAAGAGGAGGAGGGGGAGAGAGGAGAGGAAAGGAAAGAAAAAAGAAAGCGAGTATGAGGTCATGAGTTTGATGCCCTGCCCTGTACCACAGAGAGAGAGAGAGAGAGAGAGAGAGAGAGAGAGAGAGAGAGAGAGAGACAGAGACAGAGACAGAGAGACAGAGAAAGAAAGAAAGAAAGAAAGAAAGAAAGAAAGAAAGAAAGAAAGAAAGAAAGAAGACTAGCACTTAGGGAGGGAGGGAGGGAGGGAGGGGCAAGAAGGGTTGTGTTTATTTAGTCTAAAGGAGACTGAAGCTTAGGGGCCAGGGGTTTGGCTCTGTGGTATAAGCGCCTGCCTGGCAAGCATGCGGTCATGAGTTCAATCCCCAGTACCAAAAAAATAAATAAATAAAGGAGGCCGAGGGAAAGCATTACTATGTCAAATAAGCATAAATTTCAAATTTTAAGCATCAGAAATAAATTGGCCGTCTCAGAATCACCACAGGAG